TCATCCCACTGCGCCTTAACACACACAAAGTCACACATGTCACAAGTTTTTTGAGGTGCAGTTTCCTAGAAACCCCTGCACCCATCTCCTTGAAACCTGGCAGGCTTCATGGCCTCATCAGGGGCTACCACCCCTACTGTTTTCATCCAAATCTGCAAAAAAAAAAAAAATGACACAGTTACAGGTATTTCAGTGATTCCCTGTTATAGTCTATGGCCGAATCTCTCTGAATCATCGTTGAATCTTCCAAAGCCAATCCAGCCAAATTGATTCAGGACAGTGGGCCGTATCAAATTACTGTCCTCCGAATCGGCTGAGTCCACATCTTAATCGAATATTTCCCTAGTCACACAGGCCTAGCAGATAATTATAGTGCGATTCAGTAGAGTAACTAGGAGTGGGCGAGAGGGGTACCCACTCTGGTCATCAAGTTAGGAGGGGCACCAGAATCATGCCCCACCTCACAAGAGTCTGCACCGTAGCAGCATACCCGTACCAGGAACTCCAAAACAGTCCCCAGCTGCTGCTGCTTTTAAGAGCAATAGCTGGGGTGAGTAGAGCTTACATAGCAATGGCAGCAGCAGCTCAGGTTTTGATTGTGTAGGAGTTCCTGGCATAGTTAAGGTTTTTGCCTGCCCTGCTCTTGGCACCTGTGCAACCCCCTGCCAATCCCCCACTTCTCCTGCAGGGTTTGCCTTGGGTGCCAACTCTTGTTTGTTTTGCCATGGGCATAATTGATTAGAAAGCTAAATGCTACTTGTTAGAGACCTCAAGAAAATGAAGCTCATGTTTCTATTTCTCTTAAGTAATAGTTCTTGCCTACAGTGTATTCCCTTATAGTTGAGGTAAGTTTTTACTTGATTGGCACTTATTTTGGGAATTGTTGGCTTGATCTTTACACCATGTACCCTCCCTCTCTGCAAGAAAAAAAAAAGAGAAAAAAAAAAAGGATACCTGTAGAGTTCTGTCTTGAAACCAGAATATATTGCAGAACATCTCCTTTTGTCTTTGTTTTTCTGTGGAATATAGTGCAAGCTCTAGCTATTCTGTTAGACTAATGTATTGCTGCTGATAGTATAGTGACAGTAGAATAGATTGGAAATTTGTGTTTTAAAATCTATTCTGTTTGTTTTTTTTTCCTCCAGCTTATAGATATTCAATGGAAATTGGGAATGGCAGTGAGCTCTGACAGCTGCAGGTCTCTTAAATACCCTTATGTTACAATGACACTAAAAGTGGCAGAGCCTTCTGGCCAGATAACAAGCAAGTCTTTTGAAATGACAATGCCACAGTTCCAGGTTTGTATTCTAGTTTCATAGAAGTTGGTCTCTTAAGAATATTTTACTTAATAGAAATTGCAGTTAGGGAAATGTGCTTTTATTTTACTAATCTTCAAATTGGAAGAGGATGACTTGAATAACCACTTCTCCATACTTTTCTGACTAAAAATCAGTTGGCTTAGGATGTGGAACTCAATTACTCCTTTTTAGGAACTCTGGCCTATGAATTCCAAGCTAAAAAGTGATTTGTCCCAAAGTAAACCACCTCCTGACAGTGAAGCAAAGAAGCTTGTCCAAAATCACCCAGAAAATGACTGGCCGAAGCGGGTATAGAACCAAGTTCTTTGGAGTGTCAGTCAAGTGCTCTGATCATACTGCCTCCTGCTTCCACTTTGTTTGCTGTTGGTTCAGCCAAGTTTCTAGTATGTAAAAAGTGATTCAGAAAGGTAATTATATAGTCCTGCATATCTAACTCCTAGGAGGTGTAAAAGTAACACTTATCAGCTAAACACCAAGTCCTCATGTCAGTTAATAGTGAAAACTAACATTTGTGCTAGCTAAAGAAGAAACCTAGAAAATAAGAGTGACCACAACTTCACACGTACCCCAAGCAAATAAACTGAGACACCCCATTTCTTCTATTTTTTAAGTGGTTAGGCCACTTGAAAAATTGCATTGTTGTGGAGATGTGAGGGAGGGATATTTTAAAGCTGCTACTACAATAATTGAAAGTCGAGAGAAAGTTGTCTCTTCTCTTCTGTGTAATTACTTAGCAACAGCACGTGCGTGGCTGATTTTTTTTTATTGTGTTCTGCATAGTTAAGTAGTAGCAGTCACATTGTTTTCTTGGTTGTTTGGGTCTTCTACACAATCTCCAGAGCGCAGAGTAATCTGGCTGAGGGGAAAAAAAGATCAAGGAGGCTTGGAACAGATGTAATAACTTTCCTTTGTTTAAAATGGTTCTTCACAGTGATTACTCTTTTACAGGTTCAAAAATCTAGACCCTTTATATGGGATATCGTACACTGCCTTCTGTGGCGTAATGGCCATTAAAGCAGTGGTACTCAAACTTTTTGAGCTGAGCTCCCTCTTTGAACTACAATTGTAGTTTTGCTCCCCTTATCTCAGAAGAGCAGTGCAGCTAGGCACAGGGCATCCCATATCTTAGCAGTCACCTTGGCTTGGCTTGGTGGGGCAGGCTGCACCCCCCATAGCTCCTATGCCTCTTGCCTTAGCCCCACTGTGGCTCTGTGCTGCATGCCCACTGTGCTGGGCTTCTAGAGGTGTAGTAGACCCCTGGCAGATTCTGCTTTGGTCTCTCTGCCCTCACATCCCCCCCCACCAAGGCTGCAGTGGTGTCGGCTCCTTGCAGACTTTTTGTCCGCGCCCCTCTGTGTTACATCCCCACCCACAACATTCCTTCATGCCCCCCTGGGGGGCTCTCTCCACATTTTGAAAACCTTTAAAGGGATGTTTGTATCCTGGCTTCCTAGTCTGTAGCAATACTGATATTGGTAGACTTTTGGAAATGTTCTATGGGTGTGGAGTACCCTGCTGTTGCCATTATTCTTTGGTCATACCATGCCAGTTGCGTAATGGGGGCAGGGGTGATAATAGGGGCAACCAGCCCAGGTGCCCACTTGGGGGCCAAAAAGGCAGTTGCAAACTGGAAGTTGCTGCTTCCTCTTTGCCCCAGGAACCATGACATACGCTGCTGTACCATTCCTACATACCAGTCCAGTGATACTGTTTACTTTGATCATCAGCAGCTGTCTTTTGGTCTCTAATCATTTTGCCCACCTGTGAATTTTTACTGTGTTTTGCTTCTCTGACTCTAAGGCCCATTGCAGCATACCCCTCCAGTTAATTGTGTCCTAAAGTGTAACCTGGCAACACATTCAAGTGATTAATAGCCCAGTAAAAAGAGGAAACCGGCCAGAAAGTTATTGCATACAACGTATAATAACTTTACGGCCAGTTGATATCGTGCCTTAACCTAAATGTGGTATCTCTGTGGCCGACAGTCAGCTGACTGTCCTTGTGCTCTGGGCTGCACTGGGCATCCCATGTGCAGTCCCCATCCTGCTGATGATCAGCTGATTGGGAGCTCTCTGTGATGAGCCACAGAGCACTCCCAATCTGCCAATCATCAGCTGGCTCCAGGGACTGCACAGAGGCTCAAACTGGCCTGCAGGTCCTAGGAGCCAGTCATTAATTAGCTATTTGTGAAGTGCGTTGCTAGCACAGGGGGAACTCAAGATAACAATGCTGGACTCTCCCTGCACTAGCCAATAGGATTCCCAGTCCCAAAATTACATCTTCTGCCATGAATCTTGCGCATGATTAGAGGTCTGGAGAGCAGGTCATATGAGGAGAGACTGAAAGACATGGGACCATTTAGCCTGAAGAAAAAACTTAGAGGGGACTTGGTGGCAGTCTATAAGGGGTGTACTTATATACATCAGGGCCTGGGGGAGCACTTGTTCACCAAGGCACCCCAGGGGAAGACAAGAACCAGTGGCTAGAGGCTGTTTGCAGATTACTTCGGATTAGACATAAGGAGAAACTTCTTTACGATTCGAGGACCGAGGGTCTGGAACCGATTTCCCTCAGAGGTGGAACAATTGCCTACCCTGGAGATCTATATAAAAAAAAAAAAAAAAAAAACTTGATGTGCACCTTGCTGGGGCGATCTGACCCCAGCAGTCTTACCTGCCCAAGTGCAGGGGGGGGCTGGACCTGATGACCTCATGAGGTCCCTTCCTGTCCCTAACATCTATGAACGTGTGGCACAGCAGGAGGCGTGATTGTTGGGATCGCAGACTGGATCCCATCGTGCCTTCAGATGAACATTTGTCAGTGACTTAGTGATGTAATGAGGCTAATGAACGTTTTATCTTGAAACTAGGCTTCTGTATGCCCAAAGGTAGATTCTTTACTGAAAAAAAACATAGAAAAGCATAAGGTAACTACCATTTTTTCTGAAATGTTAGAATAGGGGGCGGGCAATTCCTTTGGGTGGTGGGCCACTTACCGAGTTTTGGCAAGCTGTTGAGAGCTGCATGGTTAAACCTGCCCCTTGACAGGTACCCTGCCCCCTGGTTGCCATCTTGGGACTGACCTTTGCCACCAGAAGTCCTTCCCCTTGCCCCTGAAAATACTCCTTTCAGCAAGGGATTTTGCTGTCTCAGAACCATAAAAATACCAAATTTATATTCTAAAAAGCAAACATCTAAAACATTCTTTAATTTGATTTCAAAAAATATTTTTGTCTTCATTTACATGTTTGTGTAGCGTACATGGAGGTGATTGCACAATGGTTTAAAATGAAGTCTTACTCTTACATATTGTGGAGTGGGGTGCATATGTTGGGTGTAGGCGTGTCGGGGGTGGATAGATGTTGGTGTGTATGTGTGGGGTGCGGGTAGGTATGGCGTTTGTGGGGGGGACTGTGTGCGGGAGGGTGGCTGGGGTATGTGAGGCAGTGGGGGTCTGTGTGTATGGCAGTGTGATGAGGGGGTGCATGTGCAAGAGTGAAACACGGTGCATGTATAAGGTGGGGGAGTGTGGGATTTGCGCCAC